TCATCATCATCATCATCATCATCATCATCATCATCATCATCATCATCATCTCATCCTCATCCTCATCATCCTCATCCTCATCCTCATCCTCATCCTCATCCTCATCCTCATCCTCATCCTCATCCTCATCCTCATCCTCATCCTCCTCCGCCGCCAGGGGCAGCGAAGGGGGGCTCGGTTACAGGATCCTGGACGACGGGCCTGGGCTCGGCCAGGCCGGCGTCGGTGAGCAGCTGGCATCCCCCCCGGGCACAAGCGGCGGTGGGCCGCACCCCCCGGCCGGCCCGCCCGTCCGCGGCTCGTCTGCCCAGGCCACGGGAGAGGCCTCCAGGGTGGGGCCGGAGCTAGATGCCTCCCAGATGGGGTTCATCTCTCGTGCTCCCTCCCCTTTCTCCTGATAAGAAGAAGAAGAAGAACAAAAACAAAAAAAGCGCCATAAGCATAAGCTTTTGGCACGGGGGGCCCAGCGCAGATCTAAGAAACCCGCGCAGGGCGCCAAAAGTTATAGTTTATGCCGCTTTTTCTTCTTCGAGCTGTGCTGAGCTATGCGCATTGGAAGAGATGAACAGTTCGTCGATGCCGAACACTCCTGACAGCCGAAGCACGGCTGGCCTTGGCTGCCTCCCTGGGCATCTCAGCCTGGCTAGTGGGACCTCGAGGCCTCCTAGATTCGGCAGCGAGCGAGGGGGGGAAGCGAGAAGGAGAAAGCCCTCTCAAAAGCGGCGAGGCTTCTCAGATGCCCTCTGGCCTTCTGAGAAGTTGCCCGTGTCCTTGGGCAGTGCTTAGAAAACGCCTCTGAAGGCTGGAGGACTTCCGAGTCTGAGAAGGCCCGCCCCCTCTCGCTCTCCGTCCAGGCGGACCGGCAATGGATGGGATCCCAGCACATTTGGGGTCGGAGGAGTGCACCGCATCGCCGACACATCGGCGATGCATCGGCGCGATGTCGGCGTGCAAAAGAAGTCGGGCACCACATCGATCAGAATCGCCGCTGCAGCGGCAGTGCGGCGCGATCCTCCAACCCCGACTGCTCCGACCTCATCTGGGAGGCCTGAAGTGATAATCGACCCCTGGCCCCAAAAAACATGACCTCCCATGCTGGACACAGCTCTCTGCCACTATGTTACAGTGGAGGCCAATCCACAAGAAACCTTCCACAAGAAACCCAACCCTGAGACCTCAGGACGTCCATTGATTTTTGTTGTGGGAACGCCACTCGTTTCCATAGCAAAACCATCGAAACACAAGAAAACAGGGCACCCTGGAGGCAAGTAGGGTGTTTCTTGGCATGGGTCTCCACTCTATTAATCATGAGCCACGTCAACATGCCATCCTTCACAAAATCCCTGCCCCGATCTGTGGCCGCCGCGAACGCCGCGGCATCCTCGGGGTCAAATCGGTGGTCTACTGTTAGGTCGGGCGTGTCCCCCTACAGGGGGATTCTGGATGAAAAATTAGAAAAACTCAAATAAGACTCACACAATACTCAGAAATACTAGCAAAAAAAATAAACAAAAACAAAAAAAACTATATACAAAAACGTCCACTGACCATGTTTTTCTATTTTGGAATATTCCTCCTCCAGAGGGACAAGCCCGACTTAAGTCTACTGACCCAAGTCAATCCCATACGGGGCCAGGCACGCTTTGCGGGGTCCTGCAAGATCCTGCGGGGCCCTGCAGGATCCTGCGCCCGGGCCCGGGTCAGTGCGCCCCCGGCCCCGCAGGATGCTGCGGGACCCGGCGCTCTGACTGGCCCCCGTTTGCGTCGGCCCCCGCCTCTCGAGCCCCGAACAAACATCACGCAGCATCGAGCGGCCTTGTCCTTGGAGGTGTCTCGGGAGCCTCGCTGGAGGCCTCTCGGGCCCCAGGGTGCTGCCTCCCAGCGGCCGCGCCTCGTCGACGGCCGCTGGGGGTGCCGGGATCGCCCCGAGAGCGGCCCCCGGCGCAGGGCCGAGGGACCCGAACCTGAGCTAGTTCGGGACCCTAGAGGCCCGCAGAATCAACAAACAAAACAACAACAACAGCAGCAGCAGCAGCATCAACAACAACAGCAATAGCAACAGCAACAACAACCGCAACAGCAACAGCAACAGCAACAGCAACAGCAACAGCAACAGCAACAACAACAACAACAACAACAACAACAACAACAACAACAACAACAACAACAACAACAACAACAACAACAACAACAACAACAACAACAACAACAACAACAACAACAACAACAACAACAACAACAACAACAACAACAACAACAACAACAACAACAACAACAACAACAACAACAACAGCGACAACAACAACAACAACAACAACAACAACAACAACAACAACAGCAGCAACAGCAACAACAACAACAACAACGACAACAACAACAACAACAGCAGCAACAACAACTACCACAACAACAACATCACTAATGTTAAGACGGTTCGTTCTTATACGGTCGCGTGTCATTCAATATGCATATCCCAGACCTGGACATCCGCCCTCTTCGAATTCGGGCGTACCCCCTCTTGGGTGGTAGATTTATTCCCTGCCACGTGTGGTTGGTGAAGCCCTTGCAATTGAAGGGTAACAGATAACGGGGGACAGTGAGGACGAAGGGATCGGAGGAAGGGACGGGAAGGGCAAGAAGGAGGAGGACGATGATTTGCGCTGCGAGTGGCGATTCAGCTTGCGCAGTGGCTTGCGCCAGCCACTCCGACACAGGTTAACAATAAGTTTCGCCATGGGTCGCGTCATAAACAACGCCACGTACCACCCCTTGAAAGAACAGATCGTGGATACCCCCACGGGGGGGCGTACAGCAGCGAACTGGTGTCTAAAACAAATTTCGTGGAACCCTGAAAGGAAGGGGAATGTCGGGAGAGCGACGAAAGGCAGCAATGGGGCCACGAAGGGCATGCATATGGGGCCACGACGGGCGCGAACAGGCGGGGGCCACGAAGGGCATGCGTATAGGGGGCCGCAGAGGGCAGCGACGGAGCCACTGAGGGCAGAAGCGGGGCCACGAAGGGCAGAGAGGGGGACACGAAGGGCGACAGCGGGGCCACGAAGGGCATGCATATGAGACCACGACGGGCGCGAACGAGCGGGGGCCACGAAGGGCATACATATATGGAGCCAGAACGGGCGACAGCGGGGCCACTGAGCGCAGAAAGTGAGCCACGAAAGGCAAAGAGGGGGCCACGAATGGCGACAGCGGGGACACGAAACGCATGCTTATGGGACCACGACGGGCGCGAACGAGCGGGAACCACGAAGCAGATAATGCGGGGGCCACAGAGGGCAGCCACGGGGCCGCTAAGGGCAGCACCGGGGCCACGAAGGGCAGCGAGGGGGCCACAAAGGGCGACAGCGGGGCCACGAAGGGCATACATATGGGGCCACGACGGGCGCGAGCGAGCGGGGGCCACATAGGGCATTCGTATATGGGGCCACAGAAGGCGACAGCGGGGCCACTGAGGGCAGCAAAGAGACCACGAAGGGCAGCGAGAGGGCCACGAAGGGCGACAGCGGGGTTACGAACGGCATGCGTATGGTTGCGAGGAAGTCCAAAGCGAGAGCGCGATTCTCCAATAAACTGTGAGGAAGCATCAGGCGGGAGCCGCGACTCGGTGGTAAATTGCGAGGAAGTCCTAGGCGAGAGCGCGATTCTTCAATAAAGCGTAAGGAAATCTCACGCGGGAGCCGTTGTTGGCGCGGGTCACGACGGGCGCGAACGAGCGGGGGCCACGAAGGGCATACGTTTAGGGGGCCGCAGAGGGCAGCGACGGAGCCGCTGAGGGCAGAAACGGGGCCACGAACGGCAGAGAGGGGGCCACGAAGAGCGACACTGGGGCCACGAAGGGCATGCATATGGGGCCACGACGGGCAGGAACGAGAGGGGGCCACGAAGGGCATACATATATGGGGCTAGAAAGGGCGACAGCGGGGCCACTGAGCGCAGAAGCGGGGACACGAAGGGCAAAGAGGGGGCCACGAATGGCGACAGCGGGGAGACGAAACGCATGCTTATGGGACCACGACGGGCGCGAACGAGCGGGAACCACGAAGGGCATTTAATCCGGGGGCCACAGAGGGCAGCCACGGGGCCGCTGAGGGCAGAAACGGGGCCACGAAAGGCAGAGAGGGGGCCACAAAGGGCGACAGCGGGACCACGAAGGGCATGCATGTGGGGCCACCACGGGCGCGAACGAGCGGGGGCCACGAAGGGCATTCGTATATGGGGCCACCAAGGGCGACAGCGGGGCCACTGAGGGCAGCAAAGGGGCCACGAAGGTCGGGTCGGGCGAAAGGGGGGGATAGCAAAGGGGGGGGGTGAGAATCAGCTCACGTAGCTGATTGTCCCGGCGCCGGGAGGCGCCGGGAGGCGGCCATGTATCGAGGAATGGGCCCCTCGGCGGGGCCGAAACCAGCTGCATGCAGCAGATTTCGTAACCCCCCCTTTCCCAATCCCCCCCTTTCGCCCGGCCCGAGAAGGGCAGCGAGAGGGCCACGAAGGGCGACAGCAGGGCTAGGAAGGGCATGCGTATGGGGCCACGACGGGCGCGAACGAGCGGTGGCCACGAAGGGCATATAATGCGGGGCCACAGAGGGCAGCGACGGGGCCACTGAGGGCAGCAACGGGGCCACGAAAGGCAGCGAGCGAAGGCGACCGCGGAACCAGTACGGGCAGCGAGGGGCATCGAAGGCGGGCGAAGGGCAGCGAGCGGCGACTGCAGCCCCCAACGGGCTGGTCGGGCGGGCAGGCCCAGACGGGCGGGTCGAGCGGGCGGGTCGTTGAAGCGTAAATTCTGCTTGAACCGCCAGGCAACATGTAGCGCGAGCGCGATTCGTGAGAGCCGGGGAGCGGCATCTGAAAAAATTGTGAGGACGTATCAGGCGGGAGCCGCGATTCGGTGGTAAGTTGCGAGGAAGTCCCAAGCGAGAGCGCGATTGCGATTCTTCAATAAATTGTGAAGCGGGAGCCGCGATCCCGTGGGAAATCGCAAGGAAGTCACAAGCGAGAGCGCGATTCTTCAATGAATTGTAAGGAAATATCCAGTGGGAGCCGTTATGGTTGTAAACCTTGGGGCCAACAACACAGTTTGACCCTCAAGACTTTCCCTAGTAAAAAACCGGGTGCGAGCCCCGGGAAGGGCACTTCAGTCGAAAAACAATGTGCACCGGACGGGGGGACCAACCATAATTATATTTCAAGAATGAGAACTCAGCAACAACAACAACAACAACAACAACAACAACAACAACAACAACAACAACAACAACAACAACAGCAGCAGCAGCAGCAGCAACAACAACAACAACAGCAACAACC